CTCACAGAGATCCGCCTGCCTCTGCCTCCCGAGTGCTGGGATTAAAGACATGCGCCACCAACGCCAGGCCTAGACTCATAGGTTTAAGGACAGTTTTGAACTCTCTGGCCTTTAGTCAAGATGGAGTGGAGCCATCTTTATGGGCCCCCACAAAGGTGGGTGTGGAAGAAGCCAGGGATCACTATGTAGCCAGGACTATGGGGTCAGAATACAACCTTCAAAGGCCCGCCCCTAGTGACCCATTTCCTTCAGTTAGAATCTACCTTCTAGGACTGGAGAGATGGCTCAGAGGTTAAGAGCACTGGCTGCTCTTCCAGAGGTCCTGAGTTAACCCAGGGACAACATGGGAGACAACCATCTGTAATGACATCTGGCCCGTTCTTCTGGCCTGCAGGCAGAACAATGTATACAAAATCAATAAATAAATCTTCTTTAAAAAAAAGAAAAGAATCTACCTTCTAAAGGTTCCACAGCCTTCTAGAAATGGTGGGGGAATGAACAAGTGTTCAAAGCCTGAGCCCATAGGGGATGGTTCATATTCAAACCATTACAGCCGTATCTGGAGTGTCAGTCCAGGCAGAAGGCTGGGTGCAGAACCTATCCCGTGTTCAGGCTTAGTTTCCCTGGGCTTCCATTTCTGGCTCTGCTACAGGGTGGACAATGGTGGTCCCCACCTTCATGAGAGAGTTGTAAGGTTTAAGCAAGCTGTCTATGTCGCTCAGTTGGTAGAGCTCCTGCCTAGCACACTGAAAACCTTGGGTTTGATGCCCAGAACTGTCAAAAACTGGGTGTGGGATCACATACCTGTAATCTTAGCACTTGAGAGGTAGAGGTAGGTGGATCAGGAATTCAGGGTTCTCATGAGCTACTTAGGGAATCTGAGGCCATCCTGGGCTACCTGAGTCTGTATCTCAAAAAATAATACCAAGAGGTCCTACCTAGCCTACAATCTACAACCCCAGAGAAGCTAGAATCCTCTTCCAGAAACAGATGGACGCAGATAGGTCCAAAATCTAACACTAATGCACAACCTGACTTAGTGGAGCCCATTCTATATAGAGAGATACCTTGCTCAGCCTAGACACAGGGGTGTGGGGGTGGAGAGGCGCCTTGGTCCTACCTCAATGAGACTTAGACTTCCTAGGGGAGGCCTTACCCTCTCTGAGGAGCAGATGGGAGGTAGGGAGTTTGGGGGGAGCAGAAAGAGAGGAGGGAGGAGAACTGGGATTGAAATGTAAAAACTAAATTAATAAAAAGGCAAAAAAAAAAAAAGGGCTGGAGAGGTGGCTCAGAGGTTAAGAGCACTGGCTGCTCTTCCAGAGGTCCTGAGTTCAATTCCCAGCAACCACATGGTGGCTCACAACCATCCATTATGAGAGCTGGTGGCCTCTTCTGGTGTGCAGATATACATGGAAGCAGAGTGTTGTATACATAATAAATAAGTAAAATCTTTAAAAAAAAGAATATATTAAAAAAGCAAAAAAAAAAGATAAATCAAATAAAAAGAGGAAAAAAGTTAAGAAAAAATAAGAGGTCCAGCAGGATGGCTCGGGGGTAAAGGCACTTGCAGTCTTACTGTGTAAACCTAATGACCTGAGTTTGATCCTAAAACCTACAGAAAGGGAGAGGGGAAAGGGTTGACCAGATGGCTCATTGGACAAAGGTGTTTGCCTCCAATCGTGATGACCTGCGTTTCCGGTATCCGCATGGTGGAAGGAGGGAACCAGTTTCTACAGGTTGTCTTCTGCTCCTCGCAGGAGTTAAGTGGCATGGGCAAGCCTATACAGTAAACACATACATGACAAATAAATGCCCAAGGAAACGTAGTTTTTAACCACGAGTGAAGCCACACTGGTACACCGCGGGTACCAGCCCACGGTGGGTACCGTGTCAGGAGTTAGATGCCATGCTTTCCTTTTTAATTACTTCCACCCCTGCCCCTCTACTTCCAGGAGCGAACCTTCCGAAGAGCATGCATACTTAGCCACACAAACCCAGCAAATCTACCACGCCCCGTGCCCGAGGCTCGCCTCGGCTTGTTAGAGCTAAAACTGGGTGATGGGGTTCCCTTTTCAATCCCACTAGTCAGGAGGCAGAGGCAGGTGGGTTCAAGGCCAGGTTAGTCTACACAGTGAGTTCCAAGCCAGCCAGAAGTGCCCAGAAATAATTTGTCCCAAAAGTAAGAGGGAGGGAGATGAAGGTCACCTGGTAGGGTTTATGAAGTGTTCTCTGCCATTTGCAAAACCATAACCTAGACTGCTGCGGTTTTCCTAAGTCTTCAGGACTTTCATTACGAAAACGAAGAACTTTGTTTCTCAGAGTATTCTGCGAATACTCAAGTTAGAGGCCAGCAAGTTGGCTAGGAGGAGAAGGGTGCTTGTTGGAGCAAACTGACTCCCGTGTAAGTTGTCCTATGACCTTCATAAAAGTGCCATGGCATGTGTACCGGTCACCTGTGTGTGTGTGTGTGTGTGTGTGTGTGTGTGTGTGTGTGTGTGTGTGTAACTGTTCACATAGGACACAGGGAAAATGAAGTCAAGACACACAACTAACAAATAAATAAATGCAAAAGAGAGTAAGAAAAGCCAGCGTTGCCTTGACAACATGACAGAAAGAATTGGAAACGTGAGATTTGTTCCCAGACATAGGTGGGTTGCAACCCTGGCCCAAGCATCCTATCCCGAGGCTTTGCTTGGAGTTATTCTGCCAGATGCCTGGAGGACTTGGTGGGTCCTGTGTGCTGACATTCTATTAACCAGCTCTCCCGCTGTCTCCTATCCCCCAGTCCTCCACCTTCCCCCAAAGGTCGAACAAGGCAGGAAGAGAGACTCAGCTCTTGAGATCCTAGACCTATGGAAGGCTATCGGTGAGTAGTGGTCCCTCTTTCTCTAGCATCTTCTCCCGCAAACTCTCTGTTGGCTTTGGAAACTGGTGGATGTGGGCTCCACTCCTCACCTTGTCAATTCCCAGGCAGAAGAAAGAACATGGGAAAACAGGGTAACTCTGTCAGGCTTTTAATTTCTCCACAGGTAAAATGGCAGTCAGGATCTCCTTTGGGTGTGGTGGTCCACGCCTGTTATCTCATACCTGAGATGTGGGGGAAGGAGGTTACCTCCAGCTACAGAGTGATTTCTAAGCCGGTCTAGGTTACCCCTTCTCAGCACTGCCCTCTCCCCAAAACAGAGCCAGCTCAGGGTAAAGGCACTTGCTGTGTAGCCTGGCCGCTCGAGTTCCATCCCCAGGACCCACAAGATGAAAGGGGAAAACTGACTCCCATCGGTTGTCCTCTGATCTGCATACCAGTGCCAAACAAACACACACACACACACACACACACACACTTATCGTGCACACCCATGCACACACAAATACACACACACTCACTACACACACACACACTCATCACACACACACACCATACACACTTACTACACACACACACTCATCACACACACACACACCATACACACTTACTACACACACACACTCATCACACACACACACACCATACACACTTACTACACACACACACTCATCACACACACACACACCATACACACTTACTACACACACACACTCATCACACACACACACATCCACCATATACAATCACACATACACACTACACATACACTTACACACTCACCACACATACATACACACAATAACCACACACACATACACACTCATCACACGTGCACACCACAATACACACATACACTCATCACACATACACACACCATACACACTTACTACACATACACACACACTCAGCACACACACACATCCACCATATACAATCACCCATGCACACTACGCATACAGTTACACACACACCACACATACATACACACAATAACCCTCACACACATATACACACTTATCACACATACACATACACTTACACACACACTCACCACACACACATACACACAATAACCCCACACACATACACACTCATCACACATACATGCATACCATACACACACATACACATACACTCACCACACATACACACACATATATACATACTCACTACACTTACACACACAGTCACCACAGATACACACACACACACACACACACACACGATGAATAATAAAAATGTAATTAACAATAATAAATAATTATAGCGGGCATTGGTGGCGCACACCTTTAATCCCAGCACTCGGGAGACAGAGGCAGGCGGATCTCTGTGAGTTCGAGACCAGCCTGGTCTACAGAGTGAGTTCCAGGATAGGCTCCAAAGCTACACAGAGAAACCTTGTCTTGAAAAACAAAAACCAAACAAAAAGTTGGGCAAGGCAGACTGAGTCTGTAATCCCAGTGCTGGGGATATGGAAGACAGGTGGTCCTGACCTTCCTGGTCAGCCCCTCTAGCCAAATGGGTGAGCTACCAGGTTCAATGCGCAGTGGTGTCTCTAAAAATAGGCAGAGGAACCGCTTCCAAAACCCTAACGGATCTGGCACACACTGGGACTACAGTTCTGTCAAGAGAGAGTCTTGGGAGGGGTCAGTGAGTGCTCCCCTCCCTGTCAATGCCATGCAGGACTTGATCTGAGCTGCCCTCTCATTGTCACCTGCAAGGGGCAGTGCTGAACAGATACCCCTTGGCTTCCAACCTTGCTTTTATTAAGGTTTGGATCTGGGTCCTTCTTGGCTGCTGGGGGCCAATCCCAGGTGGACATTGCAACAGATCTGTCTTCTACCCATCCGATGCTAAGAGAGTTCCCTTTCTGCTCAGTCGAGACCCGTCCAACACTCCTCCAGACATGGCTAAAGGTCTCTCACCAGGGCAAAGTCCCGAGTGAGAGCCACCCGGTACTCAAAGATTCCAAGGAAATAAAATGAAACCACATATTGACTACCATGGAGCCTCTGCATGTATTTTTTTTATTTTATTATTCTGATGATTTCGGTTTTGGTTTTTCCAGACAGGGTTTCTCTGTGTAGCTTTGGAGGCTGTCCTGGAACCCACTCTGGAGACCAGGCTGGCCTCGAACTCACAGAGATCCGGCTGCCTCTGCCTCCCGAGTGCTGGGATTAAAGGAGTGCGCCGCCACCAACACCACCACCGCCCTGCGCCCCTGCATTTATTTATGTACTTATTTATTTACTGTGCTATGCACAGCCCTATGTAGAGGTCAGAGAGCAAATGATGGGAAAGTCAGTCCTCACGGTCTACCACGTGGATCTCAGGAAGGAAACTCAGCCACTCGCCAGCCCCTCATGAGGTCTTGTCCTTTCTCCTAGATGGACTCCCTTATTCCCACTCTCCAAGGATGACGAAGAGGACGCTGTTAGAGACCTTTGTCAAACCTAAGTATGGAGGTAAAGATGGGCAATGTGGAAGAGAGGACTGAGAAGAGGCTAAGTGAGGATGAGTTGGAGAAGGCGTGGCAACCAGCCCAGAGCATCCTTCTGCAAGCCCATCTCCCTTCACACACCCTCATACCTGCCTTCATCTCCCCCGTCAACAATACTCCTTCACTTCAGACTTGGCCTCAGGGACCAACTCTAATTTCCAAACCAGTCCCAAAATCTTACAACTGAGCCCATTTCCAGATAAGGCCCTAGACCAGAGACTGATACCCTTTCTGTTTCTACAGCCTTGCATGGCCAGACTCCTCAAAGTCCTTTAGAAACCAGTTGAGCCGGGTGTCGGTGGCGCACGGCTTTAGTCCCAGCACTCGGGAGGCAGAGGCAGGCGGATCTCTCTGGTCTACAGCCTGGTCTACAGAGCGAGTGCCAGGACACCAGGACTGTTATATGGAGAAATCATGTCTCTGGAAAAGAAAAACTCTGTGTAGCCTTGGCATGGCCTGACGACTTGAGTTCAAATCCCAAAACCCAGATAAAAAGTCAAGTGTGAGCCTAGAACCCAGTCCTGGGCAGGGGTGGTGGGGGCGGAGACAGAGATTCGTTGGTGCTTGCTCACTGCTGGCCTTGCTCCAGATGGAGTGAGAGACTTGGTCTCCA